TATATATCCATATAGTAGCGATTTCATCGCCTTTCAAATGTCTGTCATTTGGATGCATTAAATCTGAATTGCATTTGCATAATTAGGAGTCAAAAAGAAAGTGTTTTCAATATATAAATTAGAAATTTTAATTACTTTGCACACTTTTGCGGTTTGCTTCCTCGACTCATAAGTTATTGATGTGTGACACGTAATTTTGTAGACTTTTGAATCAAATCAAAACTATTTTGCAAACATTTAATTAAAATGTTGCTTAAAATCACTGTATAATTGGATTTCATTCTTCATTGCATAATGAAAAGTCAATAAACTTATTTACACACTGAGAGAATGAATGCTAAGACGTGTAGAATACCATTTTCCAATTTCCAGAACTTTTTGTTGCTTAATTTTGGGTTGTGTATTATTTTTTTACATATTTGTTAGCGGTTTCTGTTCACTTCAGAGATATATTCTTTTTTTTTTTGTAACCACGCGAATTTTATTATTGCTGAAAAAGCAGAAAAACTTTGCACTTCGATGAGGTATAAAAAAATGAATTGAATTTATGCGGAACATTATTATTTTTTTCCTTTGTGGTCGGGAACCAGCTTTACCCTCGGCCCAAAAAAGTTTTTTATTTCCCACCATCTGAAAAAGATATATATATATATATTCGTATATATTATTAAAATCATTTCATTAAAACCTTAATAAAGTTATTAATGCTAAAAGGGTGTGTGTGTGTGTGTCTGTCTTTGTGTCGTCGTAGCCATTAATATTCTACTCTAAATGGATATAAATGAATTGTTAATCAAAATATTGCAGTGATTAACTATAGCATTGGTTAACCTGGTTGGCAATGCAACCATTTAAGAATTAATTAATTTTCTCATTAAAAAAGAATATATATATGCCCATGCCGGGTGTCATTTATCAATGGCAACAGCTCTTTAGTAATAATAATTATTTAAAAGCAATAATTATATAATTTTCTCTTTTATTTATCTCTTTATAGGTAAGTTCAATGATATATCTATCACTCTGCAATCCATTTGCTAATTTATGGTATGTGCTTTTAAAACAAATTATATATTTTTATATGAGAAGGATTAGAAAGTGGAAATAATAAGAATTTGTACAGTGGAAAGTATCTTTAGCCTTAATGGCCATGGTATTATTGTATTATGGCGTGATTGAGGCGAGAAGCCGGAAACAATCAGTAGCGTTGATAATCAAATAACAGTTGGCCAACAACACTGCATCGGTATTATGTGTCTTTAGCCTCGTTTTTATTATTATTATATGGGATATGGTTTGAATCGCGCATATCGCATTTATTGATAGCGTCGACCATGTTCGCGTTTCTGCTCTATATACAAAAAAAAGAAGATAAAAAGATACAATACTTCAATTTTATTTATTTATGGAGCGCACTTTGCATTGTTGGAATAACATCGCATCAAAATGAGCGACAGTTCGTTCACACCAAACACGCAATAAGAGACAACACAAATGCCACATTTCGCACTCACTCTCTCCCTGTGTCACTCTTTTTGTATTTTTTTGTATCGTGAAATATTTAAATTGTTCCCTTGGCACATTTCGCTACTGATAGCACATTTCAACGGCAGCAAAAAAAAACACCTAAGAAAACAATTTGGATGAGCCAGGAGTAGCAAACAGAACAGATCACCTTTTTCACAGACAGCAAAAACATCTTACAGATATTATTCTTCCTCACTGACTAAGAAAGTCGATTAAATATACCATTTAAAATGACTGACTTGAATGCATTTAAATGAAAGGAATTGCCAGAAAAACGAACCATTTAAATGGCATTTTATCTATGCAACAAATGTTAACTGCATAGTTAGGTTTTTGGGTTTTAAATAAGACCAAAAAAGATGATGCCTAAATGGCAATTACAATTTCCAAGAATAGGGTGAATTTATTCAGAAAAAAAGATAGTGAAATGCTAACAGGTAAGCAGATATTTGTAAAACAAATAAATACTTTAATAATAAAGAACTTAAACTGTAAAAGGTTAAAGATTATTAAAGTATTAAATGCTAGAAAGGAGCTTACTATTAATATTCAATATATAGTTTAAATGCTTCTTTAAAGCTTGCCAAAGGTTCGCTGTTTCTAAAGGTAGCGCCCAAGTGAAACCAAAAACTCTGCAGAAAGCCAACAATAATAAATAAAGTGAAATGTGTTTAAATATTGATAAAAACAATAAGAAATGGCAACGACACAAGCTGGAAAAATGCTGTTGCACACACAAAGAAAAACAGAGCGAAAAAATAATAACAACATCGTCTGGCCACATGTGTTAATTTTGCGCTCACTCAGGTGAGGTGAGGTGAGGTGAGGTGGTGGCTTTAGAGGGGCACCACCACCAGTAGGTGGCCACAGGTGAGCACGAAGGTGGACAGGGTAAACTTCGGCAAACTGCTGACAAATATTTAATGGCTGTCGACTTCGGTTTGCTTAGATCCGCTCAATTCAGTTTTTTTTTTTTACCTCAGAATGTATAGTACAGAGTGGGTCAGGTGCAAAAAGTGGGTGAGGTGAGGTGTGGTGTGTGTGTGTTGTTTACACAAACAGCTCCCGTTTCGCTTTTCTTTTCCTATTTGATGATTAACACATTTCAAGTCAACATTTGTTTGTTGGCTTAGCTGTTGCACATACATACACATGAAAAATATGCAAATATTTTTAGATATTTTCACACACAAAAATAAGCTGTTAACAAAATGGGTTTGATATTTATTTACTGCTTTTATTCAAGTGGTTTTATTTTAATTTTCATATTTAATTAGAGAAGAAAATAAGAACAGATGAAAGTTTAAAGCCTGGGAATGGAAACATTTGCTTACCAAGAAAAGAGATCTCTAAATAAACAATCTTTCATCAAACTAGGTATGTTTTCATTGAATTTTATTTTAGTTTAAACAATTAATTTGCAGAAATAACCAAAAAATTGCCATGTTTTATATTTATCTATTATTTAAAGTAGATAAATGTTTACGTACACTTTCAAATATTTGTTTTAAATTTAGTAAATGGTATCAATAACGTAGTAAAGGCATTTATAAATTAAAAATAGCTTAAATTAACTTGTTTACAATCTATTTTTTACTGTGTACTGAGTGGCAATTGTTGGTTGGTGGTTTGTTTGAGAAGTTCCTCAAAGATTCCTGCGAGGGCGTACTGTCTATCTAATGGTTAATGATGTGGCTCCTTTGGCCGAACGATGCGACTCGTTAATTTAGTGGCCGCCAACGGCGACGATGGGAGATGCCGCGGCCAAAGTAAACATTTGAATAGAGGAACGTGAATTGCTCCATTTCTCCCGCCTTTCTCCCTCCTACCCTCAATCCGATTAGGAGGCGTGGCTCTGGCCTCCCGGCGTGCGGAGTTTTCTTGGTGTTGTTTTCTTAGTGTAGGCAGCGTCGCAGGTGGTGTTGATGATGATTATGGCCATAGCTTCTCCTCTCTCTGTGTTTTCCCGAAAAAACTAAGTTGGTAAATGAAATTTTTATCGCACTGCAATTGCCCGGAGCTGTTGGTGGCCATAAATTTTGGCCAAGCACTACATGAAGTTATTTTTTGGGGGGATTATTCTATAAGTATATAAGTACGTGAGACTTAGCGCTTCAAGTGGGTGTGTTGCCCCAGAAAATACAGTATTTGCATTAGTTTCAAATGCACACAAGGGGTAAGAAATATTTTAGTTAATGTTTAAAGAAAGTTTATGAATATAGATTTAAATTTCTATTTAAAAATTAACATTTCAAGCTTTTAATTGCTTTTAAAAAGGTTTCTTTTAAGCATTTTCTTTATGTTTCTGATATTTAAACTTATGTTAAACTAGAGTTCGACAATTTTAAACGTTTTCATTTTTTTAATGCACGATTCGATTTAAAATTGGTTACACTAAGAAACAGGTTGCATCTTTCCTTGAAACATCTGTATATCTTTATTTATTTTCGAAAATAAGTCTGGTTCTATTTAATAATGTTATCATATTCTTTTTTAAAATTCCCGGACCAATATTTATTAAAAATCCTCCTCTTATAAGCCATAAAATCTAAATCAGCTTCAAATTTTTCGAAGCAAAACCATAACCCAAAAACTTATATCTTTGTTTCTTTTCGAAATAAATTTGATCTAAGTTTATTTTATCGTTTAATTAAAGTCATTAGAATCTTCTTTAAATATCCAGAGAAATATTTATTAAAAATCCTAATCTTTTAAACCATTGAATGAAAACGAAAGCCAAAACCGATATCTTATCGATTAACCTAAGAAACAGGGAGCATCTGTCCTTAAAACATTTACAAAATTGTTTCTTTTAATCATAGAACAACTTAGTGTTTTATTTTACAGTCCAAGTATAGAAATCTTTATAGTCCCGACAAAAATCTATTTAAAATCCATTACCAATAAAGCATCGAATACTAATAATTTCGATAGATATATGTATTTTTTTGTTGGTCCCCTAATTAGTTGCGGGCCATATAGCTGCTTATATTGCAATGAGCTTATTAACTGCTCATTAAGTAAATGATAAATGCTCATGTTAAATCGGCCAGACACTTATTTCCCGAACGCAGCAGCAAAATATAGATTTTTGGCATATGGCCTAGAGATGATATTATACGACTCTCTGTTCGTCATGCACGTTGTAAAATAGATCAAAAGGCGAATAGAATAATGCAAATTTTGAATTTCCGCTGGAAGAAAGAATACATATATTCTTATTAATAAATATTCTCTTTACCAGATACTTATTTGGGTCGGCGTCTGGCACGTGCCTGAATCCTTATATAAGTTTCAAGTTCTTTAGTATATTTATACACTCGAGGTGTATTCGATTACGCGTCCCGCTGATTAGTTTTGCTTTCTTGGCGCTTCCCGGTCGGCCAATTGTCAAGTAAGAAAAATAGCGGAAATATTTTACTCATTGACGTAGCAAACAGTCCAAACAATACCAGAAAATAAAAATAAAAAAATTAGAAACAAAGACTAAAATCTAGCATATATTGCGGTTTCTTGAAGGTATTGAAACACCTCTCGTAGTATGTACAATGGTGAAAATTTCAATTGTGCACGCCCAGTGAGGAATGTCTACTACCCCCATTTTCCCCATCAGCAAAGCAGCATCCCCACTCTGTGATGATGATGAGATAAGATGATGATGATGACGATGATGATGGGGTTCTCTTGTCCATCCACATGACAGACGGAGATTGCGTGAAAATCTCACAGATTTGTTGACATTTTTGCTTACATTTTATTCAATTGCTGATGTGCGGTTAGCCTGGGACGAGAACCAAAAATAAATATAAATTAATCTTATTCACATGGCATGTACAATTTACTTTGTGTTTCTACGCAATTGAAATTAGTTTTACTAAATTTAATTTAATTAAAGAGCCAGGCCAAAGGGTTGACCGCATTTCTCAGCTCATTTCCTGATCAATCCTTTGCCTCTTGGGCAATCAATTTTCTGACTCAATACCAAAATGTATATTCCCAACCGCACATGCTTGTATTTTTATGCGCATTTAAAAGCATTTTCCATAAATAAAAAAAATTATGAAAAACGAAAAGAAGAAGAAGCGATACGAGAGGCCCAAAACAGACGAATTAGTGAGGATTTTCACATGAAAAGCGGCGCGTAAATTGCGCGCAGACCGCAAGGAGGCTGGGTAGGGGGTTAGGAGGTTTGGAAATGAAAATGAAAATGAAAATTGTTTTATGTTTGAAGCGGCCAAAAAGATTTTTCCACATAAATTACATGTGCACACGGCCAAAGAAGCAGAAGAAGCGGACTGTGTTGTCATAAGTGATCAACGCGGTCGGAACTCAGTCATTCAGTCATTCCTCTATCCATCCCTCCATCTGTCCATCCGTCCATCTGTCCATCTGTCCATGTATGAGTATCTTTAGTTTGTTGCTATATCCACTGGCACGTCAAGTGAACTGACATTAAAATGACGAAAACTCAAATCAACAGCAAACAACAAACAGCAGCAGGTACTTTTCTTTTTTGCCTTTGGCTGAGTTTGTTGAAAAGATGGATGGATTTATGGCACAGTTTGTTGTGTGTGTTCCCTACTTTCCTGCCTCTCTTATTTTGTTGTATTTATTTTTTGCACGGTGGGTGTCTGGCTCGTCAATAGTTTTTCCTTGTGGAAATGGACGGGTTTTTCTTAGGGAATTAAGATTTAATGCGGTTTAAATAATAGGAGTTTGTTTAGGCATAACTTAAAGTAACAAAATTGCTTAGATCATATATAAAAAATATTCTAGAAAACTATAAAAATGTTTACAAGTTTTTAAAATATATAAAACTCTAGTTTAGATTAAGTAATTTTAAGCTTAGATAGTCTAGCTAAGCTGACTGTAGTTAGTAAAATTAATTAAACATAAAACCATAGAAATTGCCTTAGATAAACTTTAATTGTTTGCAGAAAAAGAAAGTATTTATTACCAATTAATAATTATTAGATGTAAACCTCTTTAGATTCAATTAACTTTCACAAATATTTACATTGCTTTTATGATATTAATTACATCAGATTTAGTGGATTATTTGCTAACGATTCCTTTGGTCGAAGAGAACTTAAAGGCAGATTAATAGATAGATTAATATCAGTAATTAAATTTGTGGCCTTAATCTCAGTATGTGGTCAAAAAGGGGAGTGTGTTCACAGTTTCTAATTGAAAATCATTAGAAACCAAAGCACATGCAATTTACTTTTCCCCCCCTCATATTGTTCTATTGCTCTTGTTCTATTGTACACGTCAGCTGAAAAGCCAGAAGGGGGGGGAAATGAAAATGGAAAGGGTGAGGAAAATACGAGCATGGGGCACGGCACGGGGAAAAATCAAAACGCCGAACTAATGACAATTTTCAATGCTCCACGTGCTCCACCACCGCCACCCGCTGTGACTAATGAGCGTTGCTAACTGAGATAAGAGATCTGGCCAAATGGCAAATACTGAATATATAGAACGGACCGAGTAGAGCGCTGAGCGCAGAGCAATTGCCGTTTGTTACCAAGAGATTTGGCCACAAATCAGATACAGAAAACGAAACAACAAAAACAAATATACAAATGTATTTAGAAAGAGTACTTATGTCATTCATGAGAATGTATCTCTCTGACGTGTGTGTGCCATGATGACGCCGAGGAGATGAGCAATGCCAATAGCATTCACGATTCTATATTATATAGTTTTAAAAGGTTTGTCTTTTGCGGGAATGATTGATTGCCGCCAAAAGAAGAAGTGGAGGTTGCGTAGCGAAATGTATCTCTCAGATACAAAAATTGCAGTGTTTATAACTTTTGCACATTGTTTTATTATTTTTAAATGGCAAAAGTCCCTCCCTGTTTTATTCGTTTTTGATGTTACATCCACCACTTGACTTGGACTTTTGATGTTTTTACTTGGCCTGGCCAAGACGGCAGATCTGGCACCACTCGCTCTTGTCGCTCACTGATCTGCAGCATTTAATTTCATCTCATTGTGTGGTGGTTGTGCTGTGCTGTTTTAATTAAATTTCGCAATGCAAAAACGGATTTTGCAGAAGCAAAACATTTTGTAAATTGCATTTTATGTGCAATTTTCGTTCGACATTGGGCTAACCAAGGGGTGTAGTGCTGCTTCTTCTGCGATTGGACAGAAAAAATGACCGGAGTGTGCGACTGTGTCTGCTGGCTGGCGGAATACAGTGCATCTAATTGCGAGTAACAAATGCCGCCTCATGTTGCTGTCGCCAGACATTTTCCCTCTTTTCATTTCACTTTTTTCTATACATTTTTATTTTTTGGCTCGAAGGCAAGACGACACATCCACCATGATGCTGATGATGACTCTTGGATTTGTAGAAAATGAAGAGCACCAGCACATGTGCGAGATGGACACTTTTGGGGCTGCTGGCGAAGTTTTTCTTTTTGATTAGTTTAGCTACCTGGGACAATTAGAAGCAACAAATGAGTTGAACAAATGCCACAAATGGATCATCTTGTCTTCATTTTGTGGCAAGTTAGATTACATAGAAGTCCTTGTGTGGTTTCTGGGATATTTTGTGTCAAGAGAGTATGACTTGTAATTATTAATTAAGAGATGAATTCATAGGTTATTATGTAGAAAATACTAAAGTAATCAAGAGGAGAGTTTGTTGTTAGGATTCAACAATATTACTTTGTCAATTTCCTTAGCAAAACCTTTGTTTTATGCTCTCTGATTACAAGAAATTAACAGGGAAATGTATTTTTTTGTGATATTCCTCAATCTATCATGAGTTTTGGCATCTTTCACTCTGAGCAAGTCATCCTTTAAGGATATTTTTGACAAAATGCCAGTACATACTTCAATTGTCTAGCTCCCCGGACTGTCATTCCCTATCTGACTGTCTGTCTGTCCTAACTGAATCTCTGTGGCAGTATTTCTGGCTATTTTTACTACCTCGATTCTTTATCTGAGATTCTGAAACTTGCAGTTTATTGCGATTTCTTCATCTTCATCTTCATGACGGGGCGACACATCGTTTTCTTCGTCGATTTTTCTGCTTTCTTATATATGTTGTTGTTTCATTTTTGTTGTTTTCGTTTTTGCTGCGTGGATTTCTTGGCAAACGCATTTATATTGTGCACTTGTATCTCTTGGTATCTATCTATGTATCTGTTGGATATGTGGCTTGCTGCACTTTATACGAACAGCGACCGCTTGATCGACTGAGTGCAAATTTCTCGAAGCGAAATTTATTTGTGATTTGCAATTCGCAATTTGCATGGACCCACCGACCGTCTGTCTGTCTGTCTATCTGTTCAGTGTTCAGTCCCTCCCCAGTGAGATTTTGTGGGTAATTCATCTTCATTTCGTTGCGGTTCGAGCTGAAATGCGTTGCGGTATGCAGCCGCGACACTGCAACACTGCAACACCGCTGCCAGCTCTCTCTAGCCTTTGGGCTATTTTCAATTCCGTCCGCCGCTGTGCTAAAAATGTTTCAAATGTTTTTAACCAAAAATAAAGCGAAATTGGGAAGACAACAAAAGCAACCATATAAATTGTAGACTTCTTTTTCTATATAGGCGCAATGCACTCAAGTTTTAAACCCTGGAACCAAGCATCAATCTATCCATTAATCTTTCTATATATATATCTATCTATCAATCTATCAATCTATCAATCTATCAATCTATCCATCTCTGGATCTACCCATCCATCCATCTATCCATTTATCCATATATTCATCTATCCATATTCCCATCTATCTATCTATTGATCATTCATATACCCATCCATCTATCTATTCATCTACATATACATCTGTCCATGTATCCATCTATCCATCTATACATCTATCCATTTATCCATTTATCCATACATCCATGTATCTAACTATCCATATTTCCATCTATCTATCTATCCATCTATCCATCTATCCATCTATCCATCTATCCATATATCTATCTATCAATCCATTCATCTATCTATTTATCTATCCATCTATCCATCTATGCATCCATCTATTTATCCATCTATCTTTCTATCCATATATCCATCTATCTATCTATCCATCTATTGATCTACCCAAATATATATATATCCATCTATCTATCTATCCATCTATCTATCTATCCATCTATCCATACATCATCTATCCATCTATTCATCCATTTATCTATCTATCCATACATCTATCCATCTATTCATCCATCTATCTATCTATCTATCTATCTATCCATCTTTCCATCTATCTATCTATGCATCTATCTATCTAGGCATCCGTCCTTCCATCCATCAATCATTTTAGTAGCTTGCTGTTGTTTTTTCTGTAATTTAATCAACAGTTTTCAATGCTGTGGGATTTTCTTACACGTGTTTGGGGGTGAGTTTTATGGAAACTAAAAGAAAAAAAAATATATAAAATACAGGGAAAATTGAGAGAACTTTAGGGAAAAGTGAAGGTACAGAGAGGCAGAGAGAGAGAGGTAAGGGGGTAAAGAAAAATGTGAATGGTTGGTGTATTATTATTAAAGGCAAATTTGACAGAAAACAAATGTTTTTCCTTCGCTTAGCTCTTTGCTTTCTTTTCTTTTCCTCGGATTTTCATACAAATCGCTTTGTATGCGTCAAACTTGTTGAAATTTGAATTAACCCTTGGAGATAAACCAAGGACGTTGTGTGGGTTGTGGCAGGAAGCTGTCGGTTGGCATTAGGTGTTGGATTACCAATCTCTGTGATGATGTGAAGCGGATAATAAAGTTGCACAAAATGATCAATTTACCATTTTCTTGGGAAGTCATTAAAATTGATTTGAATTTATTGAATTCATATTTATTTCGTACTATCTTTTGTGTTGTTAACTCTATTGTCCTTTAATTAAATCCATATCTCTTTTGCAGTTGTATGGTTTAACAAAAACCCCAACATATTTAAGTTATTCAAGATAAAATCTGTTCAAGTTTTCTAGTTTTGTAAATGCATCTTTATTCTTTTATCTCTTTTTTCTCTTTCTGTTGTGTTGCTCTTGACTTTAATTATTCCAGGCAATTGTAAAATATAAAGCTAAGGTCAGCGGTTGCTGTCGAGTTCATCGCTGTTTGCCTTAATGTTTACATATTTGTATTTATTATACGTATACAGAACTCGCACTGGCATCTAAAAATACGTCACAAAGGTGAACCATTAACCTAATTGCAAAAGTCAGGCAATGAATACAAAGGCGCCCCCAGGTAGCAACAGGCATCGTCAGTTTACTAGTACTACTCGGTCTTTATATATAAATATGTATTTATAAAGGAAAAAGGGTTAAGTGTATCCACTTTTGTGAAATGCATCGACGCTCTTAAAGTGAGCCAAAGTCAGCAATGAAATAATTGTGGCAAGCAGAACCGGCAACAGAGTGGTGAATCGGAACTTGGGAAAAAGTTAATTAACTTTAATAGTAATTAGTTAGTAGAGCTGGAGCCTTCCTGCCGCCTGACAAGTTCAAGCGTCGTGTAAGCGACAAGAAAAACGTCAGCCAACTATGAGGGGGGAAAAGTTAAGGAAAACGTCAAGGTGGTTACGGAAAACTCTTGTAATGATTCGAAATTATCCAAGTTTTACCAAAGCCTAAGTACCGAGTTAATTAGTGCAGGGCATCATCGGTGTTTCGGTGTCAAGACCAAAAACACCTGCCTTCGGAAAAATGTGAAAAATTTAAATTCACTCCACGGCAGCAACAGCAGCAGCCCCTTTCGCAGATGTCGTCGCCCACTGATTGACATTTGAACGTGACATGAACATGGTTCACCTAAATTCCTTAATTTATTTCGAAAAACTTGACTAACTGAAAACAAAATGGAAATTATGTTAGCTATGCCTTGTGGCCAACACAAAAACAAAAAAAAACTACGATTTCGGGTTTGGCTTTAACCACGTTGTTGCCATTTCAACCGCAAATATTATTCAGCATTTGAGCATTTAAACATATCCACGTGACAGCGTCAATTAACGTGCAAAAGAAAACTACAAATTAAAATAAAAAACATTGCATTTTTGCACTTAGCCATAGAAAAATGTGTTTTTGTTTTTGCATTGGCTTAAAATTATGTCATTAGTGCAGAAAATCAATTCGTTTGGTTTTTACGTAAGCGATGAGTTAATCACTATAAAGTAAGGAAAATTATTTAAAGAAATTTCATTAAAATTGGGACGTTATTATCGATTTAAAAAACAATTTCGATACCTGAGTTATTTTTCGTAAAAAGAATATCTAACTTAGGCGTAAAAATTACGATTTTATGGTTTAGTAATTACTTGAAAATTCCTCAAATTGAGTTTAATATTTAAAAAGTTGTAAACAGAATAGGAAAACAGGATTTTGAATCAGTATTTTAATATTTAATATGTATTTCTAAACTTTAAATATAAAATTAATGCTCAAGAATCAAATTTATATTATAAAACAAGCAGATTTCAATTGATTTTAGTTTTCTTTTAGTAAGCAAGACTTAAAAAATAACCAAATAAATCGAAACCAAATATAACAAGAAAGAAAACTTACCTCGGGAACACGAAGTTGATATACCCTTGCAGTTTGAAATTGAATTAAAGGATCGAATCGCAAATCATAATTAAGCTTAAAATATTCGCATTTTATCATCAATATTGTCAATTTTCCCAAAATATCAAAGTTTAAAAATCTCACAACTATGCCAAAAATGCCTTAATTTCAATTCGGAAAGCTTTTTTTTGCTAGTTTTTGTGAGGTTAATAAATCTGCATACTGAATTTTTTATTTAAAGAAATTAAAATTTTTTCCGATTTTTGACAATTTTAATGATGTAACCCCTTGTCTCTTTTTGCAATTTTCGAAAAAAATTTCAAAAATTTATATTTCAACCAAACATGTCTAGATCGATTCGCTAGTTGATTCTGATCAAGAATATATATGATTTATAGGGTCGGAAATGACTTCTTCACTGATTTGCAAGCCTCTGACTGAAAAAATAATACCTTGCAAGGGTATAATAATAATTATCTTTAACAAAATATTTACAATTGATTCAGTAGCTTTGGCTTGAACTTTTTAGAAATATTGCTTACAAAAAGAAGATTAGATTGAAATAAATCCCTTTAGCAATCTGTATTTATGACCAAATAAATCGAAAGCCGCAATATAAACACAAATAATGCAGCACATGCCGAACTAGACACTCGCATATTTACTATATGTATCCATATATGTATATATCTGTATATATTGATAAATCTGTTGTTATACTTTTCGTCACCACAAAATCCCGATACTTATCCATATAAATATATATATCAATATGTGTGTTTGTGTACATATTTTTACAGTCCACACAACAACAGAACCAGCAGCAAGCACTTATGAACAAGTCAAATGACGATGTACGGAGAAAGCGTCCAGAGACTACACGGCCAAATCACATTCTACTCTTCACAATCATAAATCCCTTCTATCCCATCACAGTTGTAAGTACACACATCGATATATTATATATATATCTATATATTTTACTCTTACATACATAATATATATATATTATCCTTTATATCCTTTAGCTACTTAGTATGGGGGGCAGATCTCGTATTTCTCTTTTTTCTTTTCTTTTTTCGAGGCAAAATATTAAAGAAAATAAAACGAAATCCATTGCAATTTGTATTTGTGTGGCTGTTGAGAAACTTGTCACACACTCGACCGGAGTTTTCAGGCATGTGTGTGCCAAGGATTTGAAAAGCGGTTATTTGCCACATTGTCGCCTCTGGCCCAAAAAACCTATACACATTTGTGTGCATATCCTGTTGAGTGTTGATTGCATCTGGCTTTTGTGGTATTTTAGCTCTTATCACAACATTAGATACTTTTTAGCTACAAAATGGCCAGAAAGAAGGGGTCCTTCGTGTATGCCAGGGACTTGGCCATAAGTGGGGATAGCAGTAGATGGGCAAGTGTTTAGACCAAGTGCATTGTTAGACTTGCAACAACCTGCAACAATTATAAGACGAGGAAAAAAAGCAAACAAACACAATGTACCGGAACAAAAAAATGAAATAAAAAATGTATAAAGTACTCAAGTGTTATGGGGCGGGAAAAATGTGCGAAGCCATGTACAGAAACTCATGAAAAAAGAAATCAAAACTAGGACTCGAAATGTTTTTTACTCTGCCTGAAAAAGGTAATGTTGAGAAATGAAATATACCAGAAATTTTAGGTTTAAAGTAATAATTTCAAATCAAAAGAAAAGTTTTAAGGTATCTTCCTTCTTTGCAAGCATTTAATAAGTAAAAATATGTTCTGCAAAAGCCAAAAAACTTACTTGATTCAAATGTGGATCAAGCAGCTCTTTGCTTTCCCATTTTTCCCAACCCAGTTATCCGCTATAGTTATAGTTGTCGCCCTATATCCTGGCCCTATAGGGTAGAGACACTTACACACATTCTCAGCCGAGACACGCATACTGCCACAGTTTATTGTCTTTTTAGCAAAGGCAAAACACATTTGGCGGCACAGGCACTACATAGCATAGGCAAAGAAAAACAAAAAATGCGGAAATGTTTTGCCTTTCATATTCTCAGTGCATCTCTTTCTTACTACACAGAGAAAAATGGTACATCAAATGGGAAATGAAAATGCCTTATGTGTCTTTTCAGTTAGAATAATTGCGTTCTAGTTAGGAAAATAGACTTGTTTAAATAAATGTACTTAAAGGATTAGTATAACCAGTTGAGATTTATAAAGTTTTACGAAATATACCTTATAATTCTCAACTGGTTAAATTGTGGAAAATGATACTTTTGCCTGAGATCACTCTTTTCAAAGAGCTAAGAAATCAAAGACTGTTCTTGGAAACTAAATTCACATTTAATCCATCAAAAAACTTAACTTTCTGATAATTTTCATAGAAATACCTAATAATTCGCAACTGGTTTTAGAAAGACAATTCAGGCATGCGAATTAAAACCATCTATAAAAGGATCGGGATAATCAAGGATACCTTTTGTAAATCAATTTAACATGTAACTCACTGAAAACTAGGCCTTTCCAACTTCCTGTTGAGTTTTATAGTAGAAAATCCTCTTTAGCTTCCCATTTTTCTTCAGTGTATGTGTGTTTGAGAGAAGTGTTTGTGCCCAGGCAATTGTATTTTCCAGCACTCGAGCCAAGTGCGAGCGTAGTGGAACATAAAATCCTGTGAAGTGGAAAACATGCAGTATGAAAACTACAAAAACTGAAAATTATTTGGGGCCACAAGCAGCATCAGGCAGCAGGCAGCAGCAGTAGTTGCATTCTGCAGCTGTGTCTGTGTGTGTGTACTGGTGCGTTTGTTGTGCCAGTGGGTTTGGGTTTTGGTGGGATAAAGCCAGCACAAGCCCAGACATGTTAATTCGCATCCGACAAAATGGCTGCCTCGGAGCCTGGTGCAGCAGGATATACCGTTCGCTCGTCCGACTGAATGACTCCTCACAGATCCCCAGGTCCCATTGTCGTAAAGTCCAACTCAATGGATTTATATTCTCGCGCAGCCTTTTCAACGGAAATAAATCTTTCTGTTGACTTAAGTCATCGCCACGGCGAAGCGTTGTTTGCCCTGGAATTAAGCAATTCTCTTAACAATTCTCCTCCATTTCTCTCGGTCTCTCGTTATGGCGACACAAATTAAAAGCTTCTGGCAGCCCGGAAAAAATATCTGTTACATGTGCCTTTTATTGAGCGGCATTCCGCTGTTTTAATGAAGCTGCAAATCGGATTAAGTGCATTTCCTGTGACATCAGAAGTTTGATTTAAGGCTAAAAGAATGCACAACGATACAGGCCACTTAACTGAGGATCAACTTGATACAGGAATGACATTATAAAACGAAGAATTTGAGATATTTTAAAGCACACATCAGACTACATTCAAATACCCATTAAATTAAACTTTAGTGCTAAATTATTTAGCACTTTTCTAGGCCATTTAAAATTGAATTTATATGTGCCTCTGCTACTGCTGCTTCTGGGAAGTGCAATTTCTCCCACTGAAACACTCTAAAGAAACATGACCGAAAGAAAACTGTTTCCGGAAAGTTTTCCGGGGAAAACTTGGGCCTTGCGCACGTTCGTCGGAACGACGGAACGCTCCATCATACGCTTCAACTAGCTTTGGCTTAACTAATCGCAAACTAAACGACCTCTAATAGCAGCCGGAACTTTTGTCAACAATGCAGACTCCCATTTCCACTGCCACTGCCGCATTTTCCCAGGCTCTTCCTTATCCGTTTCCACCCAGTCACACATGCACATGCCAAAAAGTAAAGTGAGGAGGCGAACTTTTCCATAGCTCTGCTTTTGCTTTCCACATTTCCACAGCAGCCGAGGCTAGGAAAAGTGGGCAAAAGGCCGCTTATCCGCACGGAACAAAAAGCTTTTGGGGGATAAGATTAAAAACTTTTTAATAAGAAGACACTAAAAGCATCAAAGGAAATTTGCTTATGCATACATACATATGTGCGGAAAATGCCAGAGTCGAGGGCAAAACGAGATGATAGATGATAAAGTTGTGCGCCCAAACACTCGCCAACAAAAACCACCAACGGGATGTTAAAGTTGAAGAGTTGCAGCTAAAACAAGAAAGAAAGCTAACTTCGGCACGCCGAAGTTTATATACCCTTGCAGATAGAACTTCTATGAATAGGAATCCATACAATATAAATTATATATATTTGTGTTAAAAAAACAATGAAGTAATAGCTGCTTTCATTTCATTCACCTATACATATTATATTTGTAATTTTACATACACAGATTTGCATTTTTCCTCTACATCAAACGATCGTTTGTATGGCACCTGTAAGATATAGTCGTCCGATTTTCATAAAATTTGACACAAAATTTAAGACTAATATAAAATAGCTATACCTTAAATTTGATGAAAATCAGCTGAAAACTGAAAAAAATATAAATTTAATTGTATTAATTTCTCGATCGTTCCTATGGGAGCTATATGATATATAGTCCCATATATGATTAGTCCGATTTTCATAAAATTTTACACAAAATTGTAGAGTATAGTAAAATGGCTATATCTTAAATTTGATCTAATTCTAATGAAAACTGAAAAAGTTAAAAATTTTTTTCTAAAAATTTTACGATCATTCCTATGGCAGCTATATGATATAGTCGTCCGATCCGGCCCGTTCCGACATATATACGAGTGAGAGTATATAGAAGGCTAACTACAAAGTTTCATTCAGATAGCTTCAAAACTGAGAGACTAGTTTGCGTAGAAACGGACAGACGGACAGACGGACAGAAGGACAGACGGACAGACGGACAGACGGACAGACGGACATGGCTAGATCGACTCGGCTGTTGATCCTGATCAAGAATATATATACTTTATACAGTCGGAGGTGCCTCCTTCACTGCGTTGCAAACTTCTGACTGAAATTATAATACCCTGCAAGGGTATAAAAATGCAATAAAAGTTGCTCCCTTGACGACCAAAAGGACGAAGGACGTAGGACGTAGGACGTAGGATGACGGGTATTAGCTGACACCAGCGGAGGGCAACAATGTTCAATAATGTATTAGCATGAAGGCCAGAAGGCGTAGCAGCCACAATGCAAATGCAACCAACCAATACCAAAGGAGGCAGCTACTCCTGCTGCTGCTGCTTCTGCTGCACGGCTGGCATATGTAAAACCCTCTTTGAAGCGGCTTATCAGAACGCTGTTCGACTTTGTTGGCAAAAGAAAAAAATGTATAGGAAATGGTGGGTCTAGGGGAAAAAATACAAGAAAAAACTGTATAGTTTGAGAAGACTCACCGACTATGAGATACCCGGTTATGAGGCATAAGTTCAGGCATCATGCACAAGATTTTCTATTTCTATTTTTGCACCCTTGAAAGGTGTTTAAATTTTAGTCAGAGAAGGACTCACGACTAACGATCGATTGCACTTTCAAACTCCTGATCCTATGGCTAACTGCAAGGGCATTTAATCTTTGGCTTCTTGAAGTTAACTTCATTTCTTGTTTGTTTTTAATTGGAAATCTAAATGTGCAAGGAATTAAGTTAGTTTTTATCTCATATTAATAGAGAACTTATGGTTTTTATGAGTTTTTATTTTAATAATAATTTTTCTTAGGAAATATTTATACAGCTCTTCCTATAAATAACCTCTCTATAATCCTTGATTTATCATAATTTTAAAGGCTTATATATCATGTTTAAGTTCGGAATTTATGAGAATTATGAGAAATATATATCTTTTCAAGCTTTCCATAGTGTTTTCTTTATAGTAAAATTCATCTAGAATTTCTTTCTTTATTTAATATATTGTCACATATTAGATATACCCTGATTTTTAGCAAATACCAAGCAGAGGCAAACTGTGAGGCTGCAGTCAGGCATAAGCTAAAGCCCAGGAATGTGTAACGGCAGCTGCAGCTTTTGCAATATGTGACACATGCAGGAGCAGGATCAGGAGCAGGAGCAGGAGTAGGAGCAGGAGCAGGAGCAGGAGTAGGAGCAGGAGCAGGAGTGGGAGCAGGAGCAGGAGTGGGGAGCACGAGGGAGGAGCACTGGTAGGAGTTGGAGCAACCGGCGTAACAACCGGAGCAGCAGCAGCATCCAACAGACCATAATGCGTAGCCTGGCAAAAGCCAACGAGCTAGGCGGGTGGTTCCATAACCCAGGGTTTGGGGTTGGTTTTCTAGCTGCAGCAGCAGCAAAGGACATGCGGTGACGGCAAAAGCCATAGCTGTAGCAAAAGCCAAAGCCATAGACCTAAACCGACCAGTACCCTGGAAAATTCATGCCCCTCATGTGCCCTCTCTTTATGCGAACCAAACAGGAGGAATGAGTTGGATAAGGACCAGAGAAAATGTGGGTGGCAATGGGGCGTGGTTCGTTGTGGCAACTGAGGTTTTCAATAATGCACGTTCTATGGCTCCCATGCCGCGTATTGTATTGCATTTTGTTTATGCATGCGCCCATCAAAGATGGCAAAGATGCTCCGCCGGCAAATGGAACTACAGTGAAAATGTGTAGAGAGTAAGGCACTGCAAATAAAACAGGGATATATTTTAGGCCTTAAAAATATGAAATATAAATAGAAGAACTAGATATCAGCACCATAAAGAATTTTCTTTAGTTTTTGAAGCTTATTTCTTTTCAAAAATTTATGTACTGCTTTATTTTTACAACTTGTTGAGTCCTTGCCTGGCTAAAATGATCGGTATTTTAGTAATAAATTTTATTTCCAGTGCTAAAACTGAGGGATAGATACACAGGTTGCCAAGTTTTACAAATCGATGAGGTGATTCCCCTTCCGTTTTCATCATATATTTTTATATTCCCGTTTTCCGCACCCGCTGCCACTTTTTTTTATGTCCTTCTGTTTTATGTTTGCCGCCGTTTTGTGACAGAAAAATCTGGCATAAAGTTGACTTTATGGGTATATGCAAAACAATGGATTACGATGTGTGAGGCCTATTGAACTTTGATTGGTAGCTGTAAAATCAGAAAAGGAAAACACATACTCCGACTCTTATTAAAAATGCATGCAGATACTATTTTTAATCTCAACGGAACCTAGGTTTGAGCCGACACAAAACTTTCATATCTATTGACTACCTGGATCAGTGAAATTACGACTGAGTATGCTATAGAGCAGATCCGGGAAGCACTTGATATCGTTTTTGGTCAAATGACCATTTTCATACATTTTTGAGAAGATCTGGGTAGAAAGGGGAGGTAAATTCTATATGAGTTCCCCAATTTGATGACTTACCAATGACCTGAGTTGAGTGTCATTAAACTGTTCGGTCCTCTGTTGTCGCCAGCTGAGGTGTTCAGCTCTTTCCAGATCGCTTATATCATCCGCTGTCCAGTCAATGGATTGGGTCAGTTGGGGTTGACTGTCCAGCAGCTGAGCTGATTCCCATTTGGAGCTGCTCACCAAACTGGAGGTACTTATCCGGGGTCTGGCATTCTTGAAGATACTCTTGCTGCCGGAGCTCTGTAGGCTCTTCCAGCTCTGTTTGCTCTTCGAGCTTTGCTTGCTCTTGGTGCTGACCTTGCTCTTCAGGCTGAAGCAGCTCTTTGCCCTTGGGGGTTCTTTGAGCTGACCTGCCTGGAGTCGCCTGCTCTTGGCATGCTGCTCCAGAAACTTGGCATCCTGCTGAGCCTCCAGTTCGAGCATACGCTGGTGTCGCACACGATGACTCAGGTGACGCTGAGCCTTCCTTCGGTGGGGTTTATTGGTGCTATTGCTCCTCTTTGGCAAATGCTTCTCACGACGCCTTCTGTAACGATCGCCTAGATCGTCCGAGGGAGCCAATAGCTGCTCCTTTTGTTTCTGTAGCTCACGGGCAAGCACAGCTCGATGTTTCCTCGCACGAGCCTCTTCCTCCTCGCGGCGGCGTCTCACATGCTTGATCAACGGATCCACCTGAGCTACATCCGATTTAAGATCACCTGGCCAACGAAGGGGCTTGCTTAAACGCTTTTGCGTGAAGGGTACACGATGTTCTTGGAGGAGTTTTTGCATTGCCTTGGGGTTTGTTTTCACATAGCATCTTGTAATTTACAAAGATTATAGTCTTAAACTTACCAATTGAGTATGCTCCTCCCGTCTTCGACTGGAGAGTGTTCCCTGAAACATGGACGACTTGTTCTGATCGTAGAATTTGCAGTAGTATTGCACCTTCTCTGATTCCTGGGGCGGCATAATGCGTCGGTAGTTGCCCAGGTGACTCTCCTCCCAGGCTATTTGCTGGGTAAGAGAACCAATGGAGAAGGACTGCCGCACATCGTTGTTTCCACCAGCCTCTCGACCTGATGACGAGGAGCCGGGTATTGGGGCAACAGACTTCTTGTTGTAGATGTTCCTCAGGAGTCTAGTTCGATGCTCAATGCGATCGTCACGTATGATCTGCTCCTTGTCCACCAGAGCCGTGCTGAGCATGTTCAGAGTGTCCCGGATGAGAGGACGCTTCACCTCCATGTCCACAGTCTCATCTGCACTTAAGCTCGGCGTATGATTCACCTCCAGGATGTAGGGTTTTAGCTTCCAGTCCACCAAAATGTCAAAGCCAAGCAACTGAAAGCTGGCCTGGATCTTATCGTGCTTCGGAAAACACATATTGTAGTTATGCTTCAGCACTGGCCATGCACTAATGATCGTCTTGATGATGGCATCGTCCACACTGGCCCAGAACTCCGCAACATCGTAATTGTGTTCCACCAGCCACTTGTTGAAGGCACTAAGTTTTCGCTTAGAGCCAACTTCCGGACTGCTGCCCACCATATACTGGGAGTTCCGGCGATTGAGACAATAGTTGGTCAAGTGCATAAACACATTGTGAGCGTTGCCCAGAGACGGAGCCACATATTTCTGAGTTGCGAAACGGGCAAGGCCCTCATTGTACACAAATATGCGTAGGGGATCCACCGAAGTGACCAGCGTATAGACTCTCAGATCAAATTTATAGCCATCGATTAGCAGGGGCTAACAAAGGGATAATATTTATAGGGTAAAGTTACTTAAAATATGTAAAGACTAAACTTACCCGCTCTATATAGGTTTGACAGATGAGCTTCTCCCGCTTGTCCACGCTGCGCAAATCGGTGGTTATCCAAATGCCACGTCCCTGACCCGCCGAATAGGGTTTTAGAATAAAGGAGCGCTTATGCTTGCTGGAATAAATGGCCACATCATAGGCACTATTTTGGGAAAGATGTTAAAAAACCTTAATCAAAATAGAACAAGCTGAGATAGACTCACTCTGTGGGCATTAGCCAGGTCCTGGGAAAGATGCGATAGTCGCCGGGGAATAGCTTGAGCATACGATTCAGGTTCCGCGACAACAGATCCTTCCGGCATATCTCCACCATTCCAGGGAAATGATTGATCTGCTGGAAGCGCTTCATGCTTCGCAACAGATCATGATGTGGAGTGCAGTCGGACCACTGGATATTCCACAATCGATGCTGCGGCACATGCTGGAAGCCCATGTTCCGCGTCACCTTTGCGACCAACTGGAAGCGCGTATTCTCCACACAGACACTGAGACGCAATCCTCGAATACTGGGCACAATGTCTGTGCCATCCACATGGAACTGCATCGGTGGACCCTTGGTGGCATCATAGCAAATCACATCGAGTTCAGATGGTGTAAAAAAGGGTTTATTTGGTGGATTTCGTTTAAGATCCTCCGTGATCACCGTTAAGTGATCGTCCTTGGCACAGACACCGCGACACCGCCAGACGGGCTCATAACGTCGTTTCCTACGAGGTTGACTTGAAACAACGTAAACGCTTTCCCTCCTTTGAACTTTGGCCTTATCCTTTGGCAGCGATTTCTGCGCATCGAAGAAGCGCGTGTGCTTTGGCGACATCTGAAGGGGCATTTGACAAAGGTTCCTTGACTTTGATGACTTTGGTGGTTTGGTAGCAAATCGGTATTTTTTTTTTATACTTTGGCATCTAAAAATTCGATTATTGAAAGGTACATTGAATTTAGAGAGTAAAATATATGTACGAATAAGTTGTGGGTAGAATCAGAAAGACAGTCATTCGAAAGATTGCTATTGTAAGTGATAAATAAGGTATTCGGTTACAAAAAATCTGGCTAAAAATGTAGTAGTTACCACAGTGATTTACCGTGGCTTTCGTTACGCAACCTTAGGAACCACCACCACCCTCCCCCCAACTACACACATGGCAAGGTCAAGTGCTCTGGCGGTTGACATTTGAGATGCGAGCCACTCGATTACCAAAGTCAGTGCCGCCGCGACCCAGGTAAAAACCAGTGCCATGTGGTTAGCCAAAACACCTTGCGACAACTGAAACGAACCAGTGCACACCTGCCACCTCCCCCGCGCTTAACGGATTAATTTCCATGAAAGGGGGAAGGCGAAGGTAAAGGTAAAAGGGTGATGGTGGTGGTGGTGGTGGGGCTCATTAACCGCAGTTTAATCAGGCTTTAGGCTCATGCGGTTATTAGTTCAGGCAGTCAATGTCACAAGGAAAAGTACAATAAAACATTAAAAGGGCGGGAAAAAAGCATCATCACAATATATAGGTATATATTATATATATCAGCGACAAACTCAGTTCAGATGTAAATGTTGGTTTGTCATACGCTTGGTTAACTTGGGAGCACAGACACACACAGATGGCTAAATAGCAGAAAGCCAAAAAGGGGCGTGGCGTGACCGTGTCGATGGGTCACCTTTAAATGTGGTAACCCTACAGACTTGCACTGTGTATTTTACATGCACTAAGAGAAATTCAGTACATTCTTAAAGCTTGAAGTTAAGTTAATAATGATTTAACATTTGAAAATGTAAGCTTTCTACATTAAATAATAGTTTTGCAATAGAATTTGGACCTGCTCATTAACTACTACATTTAAACTATACATTAACAACTTTACATTAAGCCTTTCTTGCTACTAACTTCAGGAAGTTAAAGTTATGTTCCCTTGCAATTTACAATTGAATTATAGGATCGGATATCGATCAGAACTAAGCTTAAAATATTCGCATACTTTAAAATGTTATTAATCTCTATTTTTGCGACAAATCAAATCTTAAAAAACTCATAACTATGCCAAAAATGCATTAATTTCAATTCGGAAAGCTTTTCTGTGTTAGTTTCTATAGTGCTAATAAGTCTGCATACTTGGTTAAAATTTTTTTTTTTGTCAAATTTTGATAATTTTAATGATGTAACCCCTTTCATTTTTTTCAAAAAATGTGAAATTTCTGAAAAAAATTTTTTTCGGCCGAATAAAGCTAGAAAGATTCGCCTGTAGATGCTGATCAAGAATATATATAATTTATGGGGTCGGAAATGTCTCCTTCCCTATGTTGCAAGCATCTGACTTAAACTATAATACCCTGAAAGGTTATATGTATCTTAGACCTCATTCACTCTCTCTTTAACGCTTTGCCTGTAATGTTTAAGCAATAGCAAACGAGATAGTTTATGTTTGTTTCTTCTTTAAATTATTTAATATATAATTTTTAATAATTTACACTTTAAGCTTCAACTTATAATCAACATCAAATCCAAACTGAACCGAAACCGAATTAAAACAGTATTTATAATATTATATAAAATTAAGACCCACAAACTCATTCTAATTATTTCGAGTTTCTAATTCCTCGTTGAAAGTATTCATAATATTATATAAAATAAGCATTCAAAAGTTTATTCTAATTATTTTGAGTTTCGAATTACTCGCTTTACCCATTGTGATATTGCTCTATTTATAAAGTTTTAATCAATTTCATCTATAAACTTTTATTTTTCCACCCTGTACCCATGGCTTTTGTTTTTTTGGTATTAAATGACACAAACAATTGTCGCTGCTTGTGCCTCATTTTGCATTTTGAGTTTGGATTTCCGCAACGAAGCATGTAATTTGTCAAGTTTATTTGGTTGAGTAACGTTTTCGGACGGAATGGCTTCTATCTCTGAGCCCAGTTCGCTTTTCCTCTAATTGGCTGTCGCAAGTTAGATTGTTGCTGCCGCTTTTTATTTATTTTTTGTTATTGTGCAGCTAATTATGCGCTCGCTTTGTCGCTGGAGACTGTAAACAACAACAAACAAAATGGAAAAGAGGGAAAAGCTCTGGCAACTTTTCTGCATTTCAAATATTAATGATAGTGCACGAACCAACCCACCTACAAAAACAAGAATAAAAGTAGACGGAGGCAGCTCTTTTGTGTGGACAAAACAGGAGCACTGATAAGCGGGAAAAATGAGCGGAAAATGGCGATTAATGTTGTTTTCACTTAGTTGTGACGGAAAATAAGAATATTTGTACCTTATATAATGTCAGATTTTACACCTTTAATAGTCTGCATAAATATGCTCAACATAAATCTCTCTCTTTGTAGCTTTTATTACTCCAACATTGACGTGTTTAATCTATACAGCAAATAATAAATTATTGCTTTTGATTGAATATTTCACACTTTTATATTTGTCTGAAGCCCTTCGTAACAGGCGTAAATTTATTTATTTATTTATTTTTTCCCCCTTAATCAATTATTAATTGACATCCCTTCGGATAGGGGCGACAATGTCCGCTGGCTTTTTAATCAAGTTTTGGGCGGAAGGATGGGAGGACGAAGGCAGGAAGGCAACGAAGTGCCACGTGAAATGAGTGTAAAATCAGGGGACGACAAACCGTATTAAAAATTTAAAGGTGTACTTTCACACACATACATTTCATTTGCAGCTGCAAGCGTGGAAAATATGTATAAAAAAAAGAGGAAAACCGGAGAGCCCCAGAGCATAATAATAAAAAATTAAACAAAAGGAAAATAACAAAACGAAACAAGGAGAGTGTGGAAAAATAAGGGGTAAAAGGGGGTTTTGGTGGAGTTTGGCAGAGTAGTGAAAATGGTTCATAAACTCGCCTGGCAGATGATGATGAAAAACCGGAGAGCTGGGGCATAAATTACAATGTGTGAGAATGTTCGTATGGAAGTCCTGCGAGCGTGTGTGTCTGTACTAGTTTTCACAAATCCTTTTTATTTTTATGGAGCGCGCACAGTCGCATTTTGCCTAAGCGCGCATTAAAAATTAATCTTTTAATTACTGCCTGGCTCATCCGCCGCTACAGCTATTAATTTAAAGTTTGGCAAGCTCGAGGATATAGTAATTTTTAACTTTTCACATTGATAGGCAGTTTTGGGGGAACAAGACCTTTTAAAATTCAATCTTGACTAATAGCAGGCCTCGTAAATCCCACAAACAACTTGAGAAACAATAACAACTTCATCATCTGCCTTTGACTTACAAAAGGACTCACAGCCTCTTCCTTTTTAATCTCCTTGGCTTGGCTTAATTTCCCTTTCGTCCCACTGTTTTCAATTGTGAAAAGCTAGCAGCAGCAGCAGCGGCTTAAGGAAAAGTTGTGTCGTTCTATCGTTTTAAAACTGTGGCATATTTTCCAGCTTTTGCAACTTTTCCTATTGCCCAAAAACTCTAACTCTCGCATTTTTAATTGCTTTCAATTGACCCCAGGAAAGAAATGCGGCAACTTGCCACATAAACTTAATGGCAGGACAAAACTGCACAGGGTCCTTCTGGCAGGACCTTCTTCCCTCACACAATGAAAATCTTTCTCCCACACACACTTTCAATTCAATTTAAATTTTCCGGCATTAACATTTTTGGGGGTTTTTAATGCCTAAAGTTTTAACTAAAGGGACTCAAAATGTCATGTTAAAAGCTTTTTCAATGCAAAACTTTTGCAGAAAATGTGGAAATGAACGTTTATTACGAGAACAAGAACTAAATCCAGTTTAATGGTGTCACAAAAAAAGAGACTAACCATGGCGGATCTAAGCTATGATTTAGTAATTTAAATGTGAAAATCAAAGGCAATGTCCACGATGTCCTGGTAGCCCATTTATCATTTTCTCGTAGAGGGACTTTTCCCTGGGATTAGAGGAGCTACCGAACGTGATTAACATCGTCGTGTGTGATGATACAAATACATATTTCGTTGGCATTTGTAATTCTATGTTTGATTTATATATGCAGGTCATACAAACTCTGCTCTCTGTCTCTCTGTATGCATACTATGTTGTATTTTGTGAGCCACGAATCCTCTGTAATTATGCATGAATCGTGAAATCAACTGCAATATGAGGGGCGTTGCCTGGGTTTTCGGTACTCCGGGACTTGTGGAACTATGGAAACTATGGAGCTGTGGAGCTGAGAACTGGAAACGCATGAATGAATGCTTCCCCAAACAATATATGCGCATAAATTTGAACACTTCACCCTGCGAGACGCAATGAAAATGTTGAAATGTTAAAATGCTCGCACGAAATGCAAAAAAAAAAGGAGAGGAAAAGCAAAGCAAAGAGCGTTATTTGTAATGCAAAACGAAACGACGAAATCAACAACAAAAACGTGGCCCGAAAAAACAACAAATATACTACAAACAACTAAACCAAACAAAAACAAACACAAATACAGATGCAAAGCACTAGCAATAAGAACAACTGTGAAAATAGTCGAGAAGTGGCAAGACTTTTTGTTTAGACGCCTTACTTTCCTTTACTGCAGTGTGCATATAAATATATATACATATATATGGAGTGCATAAACAACAAACGCATTTGTAATGAAAATAAAATTTAACTGCAAGAAAACAACACCACACAGCAAGGACATTTCCAAGTGAAAGACGCTGCAAAGTATGCAACAGTTTCTGGTTTCTGCGCCTAGTGCACTTTTCCTTCGACACTTATGGCCCAAAAGAGAAACGAAAATGTAAAACTGCGGGCAGCAAAAAGACATTTGGCACGGGGTTTTATATGTACTCAGTCGTGTGCTGCGGTTGCTACACTGAGAGAAAGGGGTGTGTGATTATGGGAGTGAAATTTATAGGACCTACTTTTTGAATCAGTTTGATTATTTTTGTATAATAAAGCATGGTATATTGGGTTATTGTGTGCTATGTGGATACTCTTACTTAAATAAATGAGTTATTTTACCTATGCGACGATAAAAAGAGCACAAACCTTTGAGGTTTTAAGAATTAAGGGTTTAGCTTC